CATCATGTGTTATTATCCGTCCACTTCAGCTCAAACATTGTCTGGGAGGACTGTACTGAAAAGACAAACTGTAGACGATTAACAATCCAATCCATCCTGTCAGGGCTCTCTCTATTGTTTCCTGTGAATCCTAATGAGTTAATAATTAGACGAAAAGATTATGATATTGCTCTTTTAGGAGTAATATTTTGTGAAAAAGTGACAGTGCACACTATCAATTCTTTCCGGAGCTTGATGATCTCAGACAGATCCCAGCAGTCCCAGGAGCTGACAGCGTAATGAGCTGCTCCCTCACTAAATCAGGGGGTAAATACATGTAGATTAGGGCCACAAATGGAATGGAAACTGCAGCACACATTTGTGTTGCATCATTTTCTTAGTAAATCTGGCCCTGTGTGTACTGAGGCATAAAGAATGAGGGCGAATATTTACAGCTATGTAAATGCATGACTGTCTAAACTGTCATCAAACAAACAACATACACAAAAACAACAGCAAAACCTAAACTTCACTGCAGAGATTCCACAGTCAGAATCGTTTGCGGTGCCACAACAAATCCAGGTTTTTTAGCTGATGTCTGGATGAATCTCCTCTGACCGGCTCCCCCTCTCCTCCTGTGTGTTTTGGCTCTGTTCCTCCAAGAAGCTGTCCTGCCATCCAGGCTCACTGGCAGCATGGCAGCCGGCGGGCACTCACTGGTCAGATCAGTTGTAGTTCAGACACGTTCCCAGTGGCTGGAGACCACTGCCCTCCTCTGGATTTACAGAGCTTCTCCTGCTCATCACACAGAGACTCGGAGAGCCTGTTTTTCATGTCGACTGTGGGCCTATTGGTCGCCTGCAGCTTGGACACATGGCTGTTATTTATATCAGATCCTCACTTTTAAGATCACACTAAATGCAGACTGAAGCTCAAACAGGGCATGTGCTTGGGAACAACAAATGAGCAGTGACACAAATACACCAGCGGTACCGCCTCTCTCCACTAGGAGGTGGTCAATCAGTGATGTCAAAGGTGGTGTGTGTTTGTGCCACTGGCCTGTACTCTACAATTTAAGTCTTTAAAGACAACCCACAGCGGCACCAGAGTTTTATTCACAAGAGGAGCAGGTACACAGATACTTATATTACACATATGCAGAGAACACAAAGCATTGGTGTAGGTAGTATCTGTAAACTTACTATAAAACTTTATTAAGCCAGAGCAAAGAAATTTAATTAATCTGAATTGGTGGCAAGGAAATATATGTAAAATAATAAAATGCTGAAAAATGTCAACAGATTCAGGCAGTTTGACATTTTCCAACTCCTCCACAGTCTAGCACAGCTGAACAGGCCCTGTCTGTGCTCTCTTTTAGCAGAGGAACCGAACACATACCCACATGACAGTGATGTGGTCATTTCCATAACGCCCGATCAGTAAATGTCCGAACCAAGTCCCAAAATGTCATCTTTGTCACAGTGCTTCTGATCCCAATATCACATGACTGATGTGACCTCCACAGATACCGTGTTGTCTGTTTTCTCAGTCTTCATTTTATTATCTGAATCTGATTGTACGTCCTCCAAACTCACCTGCCTGTCTCACTGCTGCTCTCTGTCCAGGTCGGCTTCTTTCCCAGCGAGTGCGTGGAGCTCATAAACGATAAAGTGCCGCAGTCCATGACCAACTCTGTGCCAAAACCAGGTACTCCTCCTCCTCCTCCTCCTCCTCCTCTTCAAACCATTCACAGGAAATGTGTTGGAAGGAAGTTATCATTGATGGCAGCTAATGTCTCACTGATATGGCCGCATTTTCAGATAGTGGTTAGGTCTGTGATGATGGTTTTGTGTGTGTGTGTGTGTGCGTGTGTGAGTGTGTGTTTAACTGGATCTTCTGTATAGTAGATTTCCAGTATAATATACCATTATTTGCATTATGTCCAAAACCCTTGGTTCAACACACAATGCCCTGTTAGAGGTCTGTACCTGTTTTATAATATATATACATCAGTACACAGATACAACTTCAACATATGAGCATGTTACAGTGAAAGAAAACACATAATTCTAACACATCATCCCCTGAAATAGCCCACTAATCGTGTTATATTGACTCAGCACTATGCAAATCCACTGCAAATAACTGTGCTAATCTATAGCCGTCTAGAGCAAACAGATAAGCTCTTTAGCACGCTCCCAAGAGCGTCAAAGGCAAACGAATAACCTAAACTCCCTTTGAATCAAAAAATAGAGCATTTAACAACGTTCAGCAGCTGCGGTGTAGAACTTGAGGCTAAACTTAAACATCTCCCACACCTTCACACACACTGAATCACACACTGCAGCTCACATCATGTTGCTCCGAGCAAATTCTTTTGATCAAACCTCGCAGTGTCGTATGAATCCATGTCACATCCTCCAATCCAAACACTGACTGCGAACCAGTGTGACTTACTGTCGCGGGTGTCCGAGTGGACCCAGGGTTCCCCACCATTGAAAAGCCTCTGAGGCTCCAGGATCTGGATGAAGTGATGACACAGCGAAAAGAAAAACAAAACACCAACCCCACAAGATCCACAATTATGGGCGAGGGGGGTGTCATTATATGTGCAGGGTTTTCGGGTGCTGTTTGGACACCCATTTTATCTGACATGCCAGTCAAGTTTTTGAGCCTCTCAGACTGTGTGACTGATCAGAAATGCATCTTGCGGTATAGAGTTAACTCTTGCAGTGCACACACACACTCCACTGCCCAAGGCTTGACTTAATCTGCCTGCCCACTCCCCTGCTCCTGAGCAATGTCTTAATGCTTGTTGCTGATTTTTGTTTGTTTTTTTTGCATGTCTTTTTTTTTCCCCCCCAGAGTATCCGCAGGTCAGGTGTGTTATCTAAACATCCTGAGTACAGCTAAAAGATATTGTCTTTCTCTTGAGCAGCCCATTTTTAGTCTTATATTCTACATAGTAATAACCAAAGTCTAATATTTGGTTTTCAGATCCTGCAGATTCTCTGTTATCAGTAATATTAACATGTAACTCTGTAAATGAGCAGATCCTGGTTTTAGTTACGAACAAATAACTAGGGCCCTGTTTAGACCTGGTGTTAACATGCGTCGCATCACGTGTGAACGTACACAAGACGCATTGAGGATCCGATCACTCAGACCACATTGGGAGGTGGTCTGGGACACAGTGAAGGACCGCCTACTCTACTGACGTCCTCCGCCACAGTCTGATTAGTCCCAACACAGTTTCATCATGAACCGAAAATATTTCACAATTTCAAATGAATAAAACCGTATTGAGCAATAATTCGCTCATCCCTTCCATGCCTTGCTCTCTCTCTCTCTGTCTCTCTCTCACTCTTACTCTCTCTCTCTCTCACATACATACACACACACACACGCACACACACACACACACAAAAACACATTGACAACAGACCCATCTGTCAGATTGCTAAAAACAACAACGCATACCTGTTGTTTTTTTATTTGTATATTTGTATATAAACTGAGATTCGATCACGAGTGGTTTCTGGAGACACATTTTAAAACCAGGTGTGAACTGACGTACTTAGAGCTGACCACTTGCGATTGGATCACTGAAGACACATGATAATTCCAGGTCTCAACAGGGTCTGAGGTGTAATGCTGTTACTGCCCGTTTCTGTGTCAGAACTGCACTGCTCGTTCTCCACTGCCTGAGTGTATCTTTTAACACTGTTGTTGTCTCACTGCACAGGGATGTACAGTTGTGTTAGCATGTGTCTTGATTTGTTGCATTTGACTGTGACTCCTCTGCCTCAGCCTCCCCCTGCTCTGGCCTGCAGCCTGCTTCTTGGAGTCTCTTCCCCCCCTGTGCGTGTTGGTATACACACTTCATCCACCCCATCCACTCACCCCAGCTTCACCCAGTCACACACACACACACACACACACACACACACACACACACACACACACACACACACACACTTATCACATTTTGTACATCAGAGTTTTGGTGATTGTAGCTGAAGTTATAATCCTTACAGATTTTAGTCCTGGTTGATTTGGCGACACCAGTGGCTGCTGCTAGTAACAGCAAGTGTGGTTTAATACTACAGCAAACACTCCTCGCATAACTTTTCCATCATGACATGAGCAACCGCCGTCTGTTTTCATGCTGCACATAGTGCAAGTAGTTTTCCACACATCAGCAGAATACAGGAGTCTGTTATCATGCTCAGACGTTGGAGGTGTGCGGCCTGTCTCCTGCAGCACTTCATCTAATATAACAGCTCACTGTGGCCGCTCCTTCTTACCCCATTACTCCTTGATATAATTAAAACTGGCCAAAAAGACCATCCTCCTGTTTTGTAGATGTGTTTTTGATGAGCAGTCACGGTCAGCGCTCACCACCCTGTGTTTGCCCATTGGAAAGCCTTTAATGTGAACTAGCAGCAGTAGGAAATGTTGGCTTAGCATGGATAGTGTTGGGAGAGTGAACAGTAAACAGTGAGGCTGATATCAGTGGGTGAAAATTAGAATCAGTAACACTGGATTAAAGGCTGCATCGTTTCCTGTCAGTCCCCCATGCTTACACAGGCAGTTTGACTTCCACAAGGGAACAACACAGTCAGCCACTAACAATAAAAACTGCTACATAGACTGTAAATGTCAGAATGTACCCATAAATAGTAAGAAAAATAGGGTTTTAAAATCTTAAGGATTATAACGTAAAGGTTAAATTAAATTCTCACATTTAAAAAGACTTGTTTTACTGATGAATGCAGTGTTTCTATAATTGGGTCTGCTTCATTTCCATATATTTTATCTGTACACTGTCTCACATACCAGTTTATATGCAAAGCTTCTGACCTCACGGTCCCAAAGTTCACAGTTGCTCTGTTCTCTAACTTGAAGTGCTTCTCTCCCTCTGCTGATTCTCTCATGTCTCCATCATCCATCCGCTCATCTGTCTGTTGGTCCATCTGTCCATCGGGCCGCATGCAGACTTGGAGATGGAGAGTGTAATACAGGACAATGCATGGGTGGCCGACCCGCTAAACCACTACAGCCTAAGTTCAGGTAGACAAAAGCCCCTCGGTGTGTTGCACTGCCACCCCCCCCCTTTTAACCAAAAACTAACTCCACACCCCCGAGTGATGTATTTGCACTGTGTGACTCTAACATGACTAGTTTGTGCACCTGTCACAGTAGCTTTAAATTGGGAATATAGCTTGGGATGTAGCTTCACTCTTTTCACACATTTCTGTTGTGGCATTAGAGAAGCTTTCACAAACTGAATAAACTGTCCTGTCTGTGACCTTTAACACACTAATCCACATTATCTCTACACTGGTGGTGGACCAGTGCGACTTTAGACACTGGTTGTGCAGTAATAGTAGAGCATGTGTGTCCAGTGTGTGTGTGTTTGTGTGTTAACTTTATTTTACTTGAATTCCTATTAACTCCTATAAGAAAATGTCTGTGGTATGTTTCCTATTCCTTTTAAATTTGTCACTTATAAGTTTTTTTTTCATTATATAATTCTTCTTATCAAACTGCTGTGTTGTGGACGTGTTTCAGATTTGTCAGAATGGATGTCCCTGAGTCCATTGTACATGGCATCTGTCCGTAAAAGAAAAAAAATACAGTATTCAAAAGTTTTGGGCGTGGTGAGGAAACAATGCTTTTCAAAGCAGAACAATCACATCCCCTCAGCCGCCTGTTCTGCTTTTTGTCGTGGCCCCTTCAAGGTGTATGCAAATGACTTCAGGGGTGAGCCAGGTTACTACAGCATTTCTCAAAGCGGCAGAATGTACCCTGTGTCTAGATGAAGGCCAGTTGTGTTTGTGTGTGTCTGTTTGGTCAGAGCTGAAAGGCCACGGCAGGGGTGCCGTGGTGCTAGGTCTCGACCGGCCTTGATTTATTTAATCCTTTTACAATGAGGGGGCCTGTAAACCCATCCATTGAGCGCTAAGCTTTGTCCTGCAACAGTAAGAATCTCTGTCTCCCTCTCCATGGTTACTGAAAGAGCACATTCCTGCAGGGAGCCGCACAGCAGTGGAAAAATATTCCTGTTCTGCTCAGATCCACTCTGCTCACCACTAACCTTTGCTGCTTCCCAGTAAAACCATGGAAATTGTTACATGCTGCACTGCTCCTGTTAAAAAAGAAGGCCAGAGAAACTAGAAGTTATCAGTCCTTCGATCCCTGTTCTTGTGCTGTCTCGTAGTTGAAGCTGGGAACAGAATCTGCTCTCTTCGCAGTAAAAATGCTCTTTTGTCAACATCAATATGAAAACAAAGAGCTGTGAGCTTTGAATAAAAAGTGTCAGTCAGTCTTCTTTCCTCCCCAGACGACCCAGTAGACCTACCAGTTACTAAGCCAGATGTAGAGCCCCCCTCCTCCTCCCCGCCTCCGTGCAGGCCTTCGTCATGTCTGGGGAACAGAGATTGGGGCAGCTGTAAGCACATATGAGCCAAGACAGCTGGTTATGTGAGGGAGAGGGGAAGGGAAATGGGGAGAGAATGTGTGAGACAGAGTAAGATTTGTCCTCCTGTTCCTCAGGATCTCCAGTCATTTCCTGGTGCTGTGAAACTATACGAGGTCCCTTGTGTAGCGTGTTGCTCTGGAGCTTCAATAAGAGGCTGCTATTGTAGACCACACCTTTGTTAGTGGGAGGCTGCATTTGATTACAAACAAACAAACCAAGTTGTAAACTGAGTGAGTGCGTAAAGCACAAAGATCATTTTTTAGACCTTGGCTCCCTGCAGCGGGCTCTCAACAGCTGCATTACATCTTTGCATCTTTATTGTGAGCCATGGCTTTAGTGTGTCATTACCTAAACAAGTTATCACATCAAATGTTTTGTTGTAAAGTGTACAGGCCACGTTCATGCTTGAGACAGCACAGCGTTCTGCACTTATTACTACATTGAATTTAGCATGCAGCTGCAAAATACACCTTCTCTTTATCTCCATATCGCAGCAGTGAAATAGATTATTCACATCCATGCAAACCAACAGCTGTATGATAAGTTAATCTAACATAAAGCTCTCTGTTATGTTGTATGACATCAGGGCCGGAGCTCACTGTTTCCTGTATATTGGTGACTGGCGCTTTCCTTCTCCCAAAGGCAACCTCCACCTGCTGCTTCACTGTCTCTGCTGTGTCAGTGACAACCAGAACACATCCCACTGATCTGGTGCCACTAATGTTGAATTCATATGATTTCATTTACATATTACAGTGTACGTAAAATATGATATATAAATAGATAAATTAATTTGAAGAGAGAGAATACTCATAGTATCTTGTTTACCCAGTCCCATGTGTTAGCATTTCACCCTGTTTCATGCTCCAAGTGTCTCTGGTCTGTCGGTGATAGTGTAGGAGATACAAGTGTAGGAGACATAATGTATGAGACATAGTGTAGGAGACATGCGGTCTATGCTGAACAGAATAATCACAGTGGAGTTGAATTTAGTTTGATTTTCTTTGTAATTTTCCTCAGTGAACACATTTGGTGCAGATACTGTGGGGAAAAATAAGGCATTTTATTGAGCAAGTTATTACATACATGTGGAAGAAGTATTCAGGTCCTTTGCTTAAGTAAAAGCACCAATTAATGATGTAAAAATCCTCCTTTACAAGTTAAATTCCTGCATTTAAAGTCTTTTCTTAAGTAAAAGTACAAAAGTATTATCAGCAAAACTTAAAGTGTCATAAGTGAAAAAAAAAAATCAATCTGCAGAAAATATGTGTGGCATTATTGGATTGATACCACCGATGAATCAATGTGTAAGTACCATTTTACTGTTGTAGCTGCTTAAGCTGGACCTGATTTTAACTACTCCATAAACAGTTAGGTAGTTGGTTCCCAACCTACAGGCCCCCGAACATTTATCTGTGAGAGGTCATGAGATGATTAATGTTAGAGGAAAGAAGAAAAAACAAAGTTCTATTGCACAAATTTCTGTTTATTAATTGGACTTTTATGACTCAAGTTTGCACAAATTATGCCTCGGCCAGGGAATTTCTTCAGATTTGACAGAAACGTTCACTTGGATAAACTGATTATAATTTGGTGATAAAAGGTCAAAGTCACTGTGACCTCATAAAACCCATTTTGGCCATAACCCAAGAATTCATATGCTACTTATGACAACATTTCACATAAATCTGTAATAGGATAAAGTGATGAAGTGATTACATTTTATATCCTAATGGTCACTGTAATGTCATGTTATGCAAACACACTTTTCTGGCCATCACTCAGCGCTGTAACTCAGGAACAGAAGGGGTGGTTGTGACCGCTTTGAACCTGTGGTGACTGTACAGATCCTCTGTGGTGCTGGGTTGAAGATGTGTGTGAAGCCTCCATGTTTTAGAATTGAAAAGAAGCAGCCTCCGTCTTTGAAGCAGTGTCTAATATCATGGCTACAACTTTGTTCTCTATCAGAATCAGGTTTATTGCCTAAGGACACATACAAGGGAAATTGACTTTTTTGTTTCTCTCAATATAACTTCCAGTTACACATAATACCTTTTATTAAATTCCTTCAACATCTCAACTGACATGGATGTAAACTGCAAATTGACTGGTTGATGGAGGCAAACAACATCTTTGGACCTCAAAGTCATCATCAACATCTGGGAAGTTTAAAGGGGAAATTACTCTTTGGATGAACTGCTAACAACTCATAGACATCTGAAACACAATAGTCTTATTTCTGAGTGGTCAAATAGTAAAAACAATACAATATTTCCCTCTGAGTTGTAGGACTATAAGGTAGCATATACACTACCATACAAGTACCTCAAAATTGTACTCAAGCACAGTAGTTAATGTACTGCAGGCCAAAGAAATGTCTTAAACGCTTGTCAGGTTGAACAGATTGGATGCAGTGGAAGAGTCTGACTGCAGTCTTGTGATTCTCGATCAACAGCAAATTAGTTTGACTTTATTTTGACTCAACATGTCTGCTTAGGGACAAATCTAGTTAAAGAAATAATAAGGTAATGTCTTCAGGGGGCCATAGGGCCCTTTAGAGGGGAGAGCTGAGTCACAGTCAATCCATGCTATATGTCATATGCTGCTTGTTAGATGCCTGTGTGTGCGCAATCTAAAAGAGCATTTTCCACTGTTAAACCACCAGCTCCCATCTTGGCTGCTTAATTCCTGTGCCTCCTTAAAATGCAGTCGGAAATGTTGAAATGTTATACATGGACAAGCCAGTAAATAGGAGGCAGGGGTGCACTGTGCTAAATTGAAGAGAACTTGAAAGCACATTAAAAACATTGAATCATTTGCATGTAATACTGCAGCACAAAGTAGCAGTGAAGTGTTTCATCTTTTGTTATTTCTGGTCAGAAGCACAACAATTTAACGAGGCCTTACAGCACTTAACCTCACATCATGGACATGGGAGTTTATTGGAGCTAAACGTGAAAGTAAAACGAGTTTGTATTTATACTTTTTGTTTTTCAGAAATCAGATAGACAGGGCAGGCATTGCATCAAGTAATTTTTTTGTAATAGAAAACCACCCACTCCCTCATATTGACTAAATGAAAAAAAATGCTGTAATAGCACCCACAGCTTTGTTAGAATGAGGTTGACAGCGCGTAATTATCATATTTCCGGAAGCACGTGAAGGCAGCACGCTGCTGGTTGTAAACCTATCCGTGGGAGCGGAGCTCTGTGTGGAGACTGGCTGACAGAGCAGAGAGGGAAGTCCGCCGCTGCTGTGCTGCGTTTGTCCAAACTTTACACTTTAGTCATCTTCGGTTAAACGTCGCTTTCAAATGAAGTTTCACCGCGGTGTTGTCTCTGTAAGTGTCCGTTCAGCCGAAGACATAGCACTAGTGAACAGTTGTACTTTGGACTTTTTTTGAATTCCTGTCATAAAGCCTCCGGGCAGGTCCAGCGTTATGGAGCGAAGGTAAGAAAACACGTTTATTTATTGATTTTTGAATCAGTATCCCCTCATGAATTGCCTGTCTGTTTTGAATTACTCTGGACATATTTAAGAGTTAACCTTCAGTTACACGGATCGTGTTTCATGAGGCACAAACTGTGTG